CGTTCGCAATCAAGGTCCCATTGACACTGCGATTGAGCTCCGTCATGGCATCGTCAAAGATGACGACGCGGTAGCCTAGGTCACGGAATCCAAGGGAGACTAGTCGCTCGGCGTTGGTGAGGATTGTGGATTCGTTGTATGCAAGGCCATAGGCGTTGTAGGTATCCTATCATGGCATACTCGGTCACCCTGTGGATTCGAACTTCAAGGGATAGGAGGAAAGGGGGATCGGATGGTAAGGCTGTTTTGCGTAGGGCACCGATGAGATGGAACTCTTACCCAGCCCATTTGAGGCGTTTGAGCAAGGCCGTTGTAACTCAAGCTTGCAGCACTGACGGCCTTTAGCAGCAGCGCAAGAAGAAGCCACTTAGATATAACGGTAAACGATTTGAGCCCGGAAGCCATTTTGGTTCCACAATGAGCGTGAAGCAAAGAGCTAGAGATGAGAGCAGGTCGAAAGGAGGGAAGACAGGACTGGAGGTCTCCATATAACAATGCCCGGTGTGTTGCATGCATGTTCGTCGATATGATATGTTACATTTGCCAGCTTGTGCTGTCGGTTATTGAACTCCCAGAGTTCCACTGAATGCTAGACCAACAGAATTTTTCCCCGCATCTGTGTCCATGAAGACTGTGTCGGTGGCGATCTCCAGGCCATGACGCCACAGCACATTTCCGGCTGTGTCTTGCAGATCTATTTCCAGAAACTAAGCGGAGGGGCACTAGGGACCTCGCTCCGCGTTGATGCGGCTGGTGTTGCTGCAATATGTGCCGGTGAAGATGTCGACAGAGTCATCTCTTAGTCGTTCAGGTATACTCCTCATCGGCGCTCAGGAAGACGCCCCGGTGTGGAAGAATCAGCGTCCGCACGGCGTGTCTCAAGTTGGTCTCTTAAATCCCATCATAGCCAAATTAATATCGGGCGGTTGCGGCCTTTGTCGGGGTTTTGAGGGGTCCATTCCAAGGGTATCACCATCGTCTTCGAGATCGCCCTCTTCATACACGCTGGGGGGTTCGTTAGTGCTGAAAAAACCGTCCCATAATCCTTTCTTGCACACGAGAGCTCCAACCAACACCAGTGGGAGATGCCAGACGCTCGCCCAGAAGAGTCCTCTAGCACTACCTCCAGCTCCTTGCTGTCTCCAAAAGCGGAATGCCTCTCTAGTCATCCAGACGTTGCATGCCGTGCTGATGACCAGGAAGCCCTTGTCCACGCACCCCGTGAAATAAAGGAGTCCGCATATAGGGAACATGGCCAGAGAGTACCGTAGAGCAACACGTCCATTTCGAGCAGGATTCGTCCAGGCCAGCATTTTGTGGCCAGCATTTCGATAGTCTTCTCGAATAGTGTGAGACAGAGACATAAAATGAGGGAACTGCCACGCAAAAAGGAGGGCTGCTAAGGCCCAGCCGCCTATCGAGCTCTCCGAAAAAAGCAGATCTTGCCACGAATGGTGTTCGAATGTGGCAGCCTCGCCCGCAGCAGCGCACCAGCCCATTAAAGGGGGAATGCCGCCCACAATTGCGCCGACCCATGTATTTGCCGCGGAGATCCGCTTCATTGGAGTGTACACTCCCGCGTAGAGGAAGATATTGAGAGCCGACAGGCCCGCCACTGTCGGATTGGTCCCTAGGCCGAGAAGAAGTAGGCCGGACGCACCGCAAATCAAGGCAAATCCGGCGGCAGCCCGTGGAGTGACCAGCTTTCTTACAAGAGGCCGATTTCGAGTTCGAGACATGAGAGCGTCATATTTTGGCTCAAAAAGCATGTTGAGGGTGTTGGCACATGCACAGGACAAAAAAGTGCCCGAAGTGAGGAAGAGCCAAGTCAATGTTGACGTTGAGAGTGACGAAGTCACCTCCGAGGATGTGGAGGATAGAATTTCTGGGAGCGGATACAGACTGTAAGCCGAGGTGGTCGTGAGCAGAATCAGGAATGACAGGCGTGGTTTGGTCAACGAGAGGTACGTTGCCAGCTTTCGTCGGAAGACGGCTGACTTTGGCATCGAGGTCGCCGCAGTCGTCAATTGGGACGAAGCGTCCAAGGGAAGAGACTCCTCTGATGCGTCCTGGTTACTCTTCCGTCTCTTCCGCCTTCTGTGCGGCAATACTTCTGTCTCTGGTTCACCATCCTGCACAGCTTTGCTCACTTCTGGACCTTTTGGAGGGCTCAGGTTCTCTGCACTCGGAGGCTCCTCCTTAAATGACAAGGCCTTCTCCAGTTCTCCCTGTGCTCGAGTCCGTGTAGCTTCGGGAGGCACGTCATTGTGCCTTCGTCCTGTAGGCTCCGCGACTGTGCGGACCGCAGCCAGCATCCCACTCTTGATCCATCCTCTCTCGATTGAGGTATTGGCAGAGAAATAATCATCCACGAAGCTCTGCGAATGAGCAACTGCACTTCTGGAGGCCTTTTCGGTTGGAATTATGCCACTGTGGAGCTTCCTGTTTGCCTGTAGAACAGATCTCAAGGTGCTGTGCTTCCGAGACGATTGGCCAAGGCATCGTGTGATACAGGAAGGACAGATGCGAAAGCCACATCCGGACAATCGGCCTGCTGCCGGAGCAGCAGCCATAGCGGCGGTGATCTAAGCTCGCGGAAATCGTAGAAGGGTCATTGAGTTGAAGCGTGGTGTGAAGAGTGAAGACCGAAATTCAAAAGCGGAGGTAAATCGACCCCGAGCGCACCTCGATACTGACCTAGCAAGTAAGTTGCGCCGCTTTTAAACACCGCTGACCTCCCACTCACCAACTCACCCTGAACTCTTCTCTTTTAGTTTTGGTTATTTTGCATATATTTATTTCTTTACTAGTACTCACTTATCACCTAACTCTTCCCTATTTAGTAATAATTTCTACTCCTATGCTAGGTTTGAGTATCGCCCCCAGTACCGAGTACTAGACGAAAAGGCTCCCTAGTCGCCGCCCTAGAAGTACCTATGTTGGTAGCTCGCATCACCCTCGAGACTCAGAATAATCTTTTAACCATAGCACCGTTGAAATCTCCTCAACGAGACGAACCCAGGGGTACTATCTATGTGCAACAGATTATGCGTGGTAAGTCAGAAAGTCATAGAGGAAGCCGTCTTTTTTGCGCAGGATCTTGGCAGCCCGGATTTTAAAGGAAATGGGACATCCGGAACGCAAGGGAAAGGTTGGAACTTGTTGAACTATGGCAAAGTGCGAGATACAGCGAGGTTGCTGAGGGAGTGGCACAGGGTTTGAGACTCGAGAGCAGACACCAACGGGGGATCATCCTTCTCAACTAGCGTCGCAATCACGAGTTGGCAGGAATATATCAGGCGAATAGACAAATGAAGGATACACAGAAGAATTCCCAAGCAGACATTGACGGAGGATGATCCCGATCGACTGGCATCGCAGCATAACCTGGCTATGATCCTATGGGAACTTGATCAGTAAGTCTCCTTCGGCTTGGTGGAGATCTACAGACTGGTTCCGTCCAGCGTCCGAGAAATGGTCAGAGCCTTTTGAGCATGACACATCTAAGGTTTAACGAGCACGGATTTACAACAACACTTACTACCGAGCTACCTAGGTAGGCACCTACGGTTACTCCTGTCACGATCTACCGCCACCTACTTCGTCCGTGTTCCGTTGTTCTGTCCACAGCCTTCCCGTATCCATCGCGTATCTGATGACGGCCCGGACGATTTTCATCTTGGACGTCCATTTAGCTACTGGTCCATCCAAGCCATGCACGGGCACCCCAAACAAAATTGCTAGGTGCCAGGTACTCGACCAAGCTTGACTTGTGAGACCTAACCCCGAGAACCGAAGTCGATGGCGCACAACTCAGCCGACTAATGTGAGGTACGTGGACAAGGATTGACAAGGAATTCAGAAGAATTCGATAAACAGCACTCACAGGCGCTGCCATGACCAGAACAATCCTCTCTGCCCGCTGTATTGAGCACTTTTTCGTCTATACATAGCCGAGGGCCCTTGGCCACCCCCCACCCGTTTCCAACGATGTGCTTGCCAGAGATGGAGTGAATGCGCTGGGTTTCTTGCCCGCGTGGTACGTATACTACCCACAATCACGCTAGGCCTGCAGCCTCTGTCTAGTACATTGTGAGCACATTTCCTCATTGAACGGCTAGAGCCAACGAGAAGGGTAGTATGCTCTGAGCAAACTCACTTTTCCAGACGAAGTCTAGTCATGCAATTCATATTGTGCTATCTCATCATCTGTTGATATTTGACGATGAGCCGCAAAAGTATTCAACAGTTCGATGTCTGGTAAGCCCACCGCTCATGTGAATAGCCGTGAGTGTAATATTGACAAGTTGGGAAGATACTAGAAGCCTGTTGAGCCGCCTCAAGGCTGATTCGACTCCCGACAGTCTTCAAGGACCTGGGAGATCTCGGTCGACGCACGGGATACAGTACGCTCTGTGAGTTGGCAATATCCCCACCGAGACCAATATTCTAGACTTGAAGGATTTCCTTTTGGACGTCACCCCAAACGACCTATCAGTCTATCCTATAATCCCACCTCAAGGTATGCGTTTGCGAACTTTAGCAAAGAGAGCGCTCGAATCACCGCAATTGAGCATGCGGGGCTTCCACTCTGTTCCGGGAAAAGCGACTTGATTGCCGAATTAGGTATGAGGGACAATCGAGATCTGTCAAAGTCAGCTATGGTCTCAGTGCTGGTGATCATAGAAATATTCCACTCCCAAAACCCCCCAACGACCTGAAACAAAGGGCTAAGGAGTTAGCCTTCTTCCCTGATTGTGACGGCGACCAAAATGATAAGAAGTTCTTCATTATCAAGAGCTTCATACCCGAAGCAATACGCCAGAGCCTAGAAACGAATCTGTGATATATACCGCAGAGACATGCATGTCGGCTGAATTATGCTTTTCGGGTGAGATCTAGTTTTCTGTTTGGTGTCTTCCTCGAGACTTTGAAGCAACACTAATCTCGACCATTCACCCCTTAGACAGCTCGCAAGGTACATTTTATCCTCTTAGTTAATGGCTCCGGTGAGCTGCTCGGTTACGCCTCAATTGGAATCTGGATTCCAGATATCTGAGACATCCAGCAGCCCTTCGCATGGCCTGGAGTTTCCTCAAATGCTTAGAGTCGAACTATCCGCCAAACAGAGCCTCGTCGATAATACTTCCGACACCGGGTACAGATCTCCAACCACGTCCCCACACGCGTATGGATCATCCACTCCGGGAAAAGTGACATGTGAGCCAGATAGACAGCGAATCATTTGGAGAGCGTCAACAAATTCCCAAGACTCCGATGTCGATTCTTCAAAATACCTGAACATTGCTTCACTGGGCCACGGAACCGTAGAGACCTTCCAGCAAAGAGGGTGGAGGAACAAGCCCCAAGCCATGGAGATGGGTAAAAGTCACAGATTATGCTCCTATGAAAGAGGTGCATGGCTGCCGCCGAGGCACATGAGTGACCCTCCTCCGCAGCTCGAACGCATTAGCGCCCCATGCCAGATCAAATGGATCTCCCGCGAGCAAACCCCCTTCGAACAAGTCCGCAGTATCAAGAACCCCTGGAACGAGGACATGAGCGTCGGCCGAGCCAAATACGTCACGCTGGTGCACCGAGAAGCTGGAGCAGCAGTCCTGAAGATTTGGAGGAGGAAAATCATGCAGAGTCAGAACAATATTCCGAGAGAAGCAAGTACAGAGGCGTGGGATCTGCGTTGATGGCAGTACTTTGACGAACAATTCAAGGAATGATTTCCGTCCTTTCGCAAAAGATTTTTGGATTCATCAGCGCGCGGATTGAAAAGGGGCAAGCAGCCTCTGACCTTGATTCTTTGCTCCGTGTCCAGGATCAAATCCGGGCATTGTGTATCAAAGTATTTGTTTGGGAATGTTAGCTTGGAGCACGAGGACCAACGGGGTTCGATATTTCTCTCATTCACCGTGTTTATCTTGGCGGCAGTTCTTTCGGCGAATCTTAAATACCAATCCACTGTAACAACAAAGATCTAGAGGAGGCGCTCGTGGATATGTAAGGGGTATAAGATGACGTCTTTACCCCTGACTCTGCGCATTCAATATCTATGGGCCCTTCACCCCGTCCGGCAGATTGCTTGATATCCCAAGCGGCAACAAGCCTCATAAAGGTGCCAGTGAGAGAAATGCAAGGACCAGGTCAGACGGCATCTTCACGCCACATACGGAGAATTTAGTAGACCCGCCCACGGACGCGAGATTGCAGAGTAAGCCGTGTTCCTCAAGGGAGGTGGGAGGGTGACGATTTAACTTGCTCGGTGACAAATGGTCATTGTCCTCGGCGCAAAGATACTCGGCGCACTTCTCTCCCCTCCCCTCCCGGCCCCCCGCCCAACAGAACAATTCGCCTGTTGTTCATTCCAAAATACAACATGATTTCATATCCCCCAAAAAAGAAGGTAAACACAAACACATTATGCACTGTACACCAAATCTACCTTTGGCTTAAGTTTAGGCCCGGTTGCACAGGAGACAATGTTTCGAAGAAAAGCGGTTGGCAAACACAACATTAAGTAGACGATGGAGGAGTAGAGAACATCCGTCCTTGAGCATGACCCGCTGCGTTCCAGTCCCCCGCGCCACCATTCCCGCCCTTGACTTGAATTTCGGTCTCTTGCTATGATCATGGTCAATTGGGAACGGAAAGAAATTGTCCCAATTCCCCAGTGACAGTGACACTCGCAAGGCCTTACCGTTGTCTAGAACAAGTGCAACACAGCACCCACTAGGACAGCCATGAAGTTGATGGACACCACATCAGCAGCGCCAGTGAATGTAGCGATGGCGGGCGAAACGGGCGACACGGAAGTGCCAGACTCAGATCCTGAGCCTTTACCTGCGTCCAGCCCAGCGCCGCTCGTTGAAGTGGCAGCTGCAGCCGCGGCCGTTCCTGAAGTAGAAGTGGATTCAGAAGAGAGCCCGTTGGTGCTCCATTGCCAGCTAGCTGAGCCCGTGGATGTCGAAGAGGTCCCGGTTTCTGTACTTGTTGTGGCGGCGGATGTTGGGAACGCTCCCTTGCTTGTCCACGGCGCCGAGATAGTGCATAGGCAGTCCGTAATAGTAATAGTGGTAGCAGCTATCGCGGTGTACCACTTGTCGTTGTAGCTGAACTTGGTGGCATAGGGGCAATATGTCTCGAATGATGTGACTATGGTTACGGTATAGGAAACTGACTCGGTTGTGGTGCTTGTGGTGTAGGAGACGGGTAATGGGACGGTAGTCGTAATGGACGTCTTCGAATTGGAAGTCCGGTGGGGCCACTTCGTACTGGGCTTGCCGGAGCAGGTAGCAGTCGATACAGAAGAAGCCCATGTTGTACTCAATTGGCTGGAGTAGGACCCTGTCGATGAAGACGCAGTCGAACTTGTGCTAGACTTGGTCGAGATGGAAACTGTCGATGCGGTCGAAGTAGTCGAAATTGAAGTCGAAGTCGTTGAATAGGAGACTCCACTGCATGAGAGAGCACTCGCACTTGCAGACAGTCCCCCCAAGCCCTTGAAGCTATCCGATGAAGAGCCCACAGTAACATCGTACTTTGTGAATTTCAGTGCCACAGCAGGGAGGCTGTAAGATCCCATGTAGAAGGTGTAGTACTTGGACTCGCACACCTTGGCCATAGTAACCTTCTGCTTGACGAGGGTGGGGAGGTTGTTGTAGGTCATTGCCTTGACGAGCGAGAGGGTAAGGTCAACTTCGCCAGTAGTACCATATCTCACCTGCGAAGCTCGTTAGTTCAAATACTGTCAATAGTCACTCGCATTCACAAGACCAACCGCTGCGACAATAGTTGCTAGTGAGTTGCCGGCGGAGTCTGCGGAGGATACGATGGAATTTGCGGTTTGTGCAAAGATCGTGTCCGAAACCGGGAAACCCTCGCCATTATTGTCGTAGGCTACAGTGCCAGATGAAGTGGTGACGACGACAGTAAAGGAAGAGATTGAACTTTTGGCGGGAATCTCGCTGCTGAAGTTAAAGAACTATATAGCAAGTCAGCCTCCGTTTGTTACTAGACTGTCGATTAATAGGTTCTCACCGTAAAAGTATCATCAAACCCAGCAGCGTCACCGGCAACTAAGGTGTCGATGCTCTCAGAACCGGCCCCTAACCTATCTTTGTAGACAAGTTTTAGACTTGAGATTGACGAAGCTGACACTGTGTTGGTCCAGAAACGAATTTGACCAGAGAAGATGAGGCGGTCGCCGCCTGATGCCACGTTGAGCTGAAGATTTACTGGCTTGACCGGGTATGGAGTGATTGTGTCGGTCAGAGTCACGCTCGAGGGAACGGTGTCGAGCATTTTCGCCAAGATTGTCGTGCAAGTATCAGCGTAGGAATTTGCGGTCTGCATAGCTGAAACAGTCTGGTTGTCATCACTGGCAAAAACCCGTAAATCGGATCGAGCATCCAAATCAGGGCCAATGACAAGAGGATTTTTAGTACTGCCATCGAGGTATTTTGTGATAACTAAGTTGTCATAAGTGTTATTAGTCGCGTCAAAATTCTGGACTCCAAGGGTTGTCGTGTTCGCAGGGACGATTGTAGGGTGTTCTGCGGAATGAACACCTCCGAGAGTGTGTCCACAAGCAACGACCTGGATCATCTCAGTTGGCGAGAAACCCATCCTAGCGAATCCCCTTGTCAACTTGGTGATATCGTCCTTCGCATCGGGTACGCCAACTGCGCCAGCTTGAGTAGCATCAATTCGACCAGCTTTAAGGGGCACCGCAGGACCACCACACGCTCTGACGGAGGCGTATACACCAAGTGCGATCAGGTCAGACATGGACGCTCGGCTGCTGAAAAATTTAGAGTAGTAGGTCAAAGAGGCGTTGAAAGCTGGACCAGTATTCTCGATGTAAGGGTCGAGGAGCTCGAAACCAATTGAAGCGTCCAGACCGCCGGTACCCGCAGCAACGTCTGCCGGAGCCATATCGTGAAAGGCGGTTCTGAGGAAGCCTCCTGCTACCGAGTGACCCGGAGTTGGAGCGAAGGTGCACGGGGCCACTGGAAATGGAAAGTTGCGAGCGTTGACTCCGGAGTTGAGCAGCATCAGGTCCTCCATCTCATCGTAGGCTGGAGAAGGCCATGTAGCAGCTGAACTGGCCACATAGATTAAATTGAGCCCCACGGCTGCTGAAAGGAACAGTGTCATTTTCCCCAGCATAATGCAAAGTGTCAAAAGAATGGAACGAGCCAAATGGGCTTCAGATGGACAGAATATAGGCCACAGAAAAAAATATCTTGTAGTTCAAACGAGGGACTAAATAGTTGGGTTGTGGAAGCAAAGCAAAATGAGTGTGAAAGAGGCAGGGAGAAGTGAAGAGAGGCTGGTGACTTTGATGCGGCCGGCAAGATATAAATATAAGGTGCTATCTTCTCGTACATAGACCGTCGGCAATTTAAAGCGCACATTGTGGCATTATGCAAAGTACGAAGCCACTTCCCGTCACACCTGTGGTGCAGCACTATCGATACGATGGTCGAAATGAACCAGGTTTAGACCATTGAGAGCCATGCAGTTGGATTAGGTCTCAGATAGGTGCGCTTGTCGAAATCAGATTTGCCTCTCCCACCGCCGCTGCGTATTCTGATAGTGACAGCGGGCAGAGAAGGTGGCTGGATGCGTGCTCGGAAATTCGAACATCTTGGCGTCGACGCAGATTGATCCAAAAAAGAAGTGCTGAGACGTTGTGGGATTTTACAAACCTACCCATGTACACCAATGGCATGGCTGGCGATGGTCATGGTCGTCGTGTGGATAAGGTTGTAGGGTGGCAGGCTCTGGGTTTTAAAAACATGCTCACGTCCCCAAGTATTGTGCTCACCATCCACTATCCGCAAACCCTAGTACATAGGCTCGAGAGGGCGGAGACTCACCGGGAATAACCGCCCGCCGGCTTGTAAATCATCCAGACCTCCTTTGCCGGAACTTCATGACTTGTAACCATGGTTCGAGTCGGACTGGTACAAGTCACTAGTCCTCCTCAGCTATAACCCTCAAAGTCAATCCTGGGAGTCTAATCGGAAGCTTTGCATTGGGACATCTCACACTCAGTCCTGTCGCCCGCTGAGACACGGAGAAAATGACATTGCACTGCGGTGAATAGCGCTCTATTGGACCTTTGGCGATGAGAAAGTTGTACAGGTCAAAATGTTAAGCTTAGGGATCCTCGGTCTACCGAGTATGTATTCTGTTTTCTGTGGGGGGAACTTCGGTATTGGATTAGCCTAATTAGGCTAGGTAGTGGGGTCTCTTGGCAATGCGGTAACCTGGCTCGTCTGTTTACCAGTTTAAACATTCTGCCACCCACAGATCTCAATACGCCTTCTCCTTTCTTTTAAATATCCTCTTTTATTCTCCCGGACTACTGACTCTGCTTAGGGTAATTGCAAAAGCGAGGTGAGCAGATTCTAGATAGCCGCGAGAGTTCCAATCCCAGAAACTTACTCATCGTTCTCTTAGAGGGGCAGACAAAACACGCTATGCTAGCGAATCGTTCAGATTTGGTGGAAGATGTGCTACTATCACGCCCAAAAACACGCTCATATGATTGTGCTAATCCTTGGGTCCGCAGTGTCACGTCGTGAAAGCTACCTCGTGCACTCCTTGGACTCCCTGAAGACCCAAGAGGCTGATCTAAACCAAGATTATCCAGACTATCAACTGGAAGGACCGGGTATGGTGTGAGAAATCGCAAACCCAGGTGTGAATTCAGGGGAGTGTGACTCTGCCAATCATGCTTCACCGCGAACTCTGAGGTTATCACGAACCGTATTGTTTCAATCACAATCCACTCAAAAACTATCAGGGACCTACGCAACGCAGTAGGTACAAAGAAACTGGAATAGCTGAATGCCTTGTTCTATTCACGTAGTCCTATTGACAACGACTCAACGCTTGAGAAAAAGGAAGAGTTCTCTCTCAGCCGGTTCGGGTGAGAGGAGACTCTTATAGCTTCCCCTCTTTCTGTCACGTGAAAAGGGTAAGGCAGCGTTAACCGATAGCCTTGTGCTTCAACTGTCCTTTGCCTTTTCCTTTTCTTTCTATACCGTCCACCCGATTCGGGTGGAGGGCGTAGAGTACTTGGGGACAACGGTGGGCTCGTGACAAAAACATGGTGGGATCAGTTAACAAATTCCAGACGGCTCGGCCCTCATATCCGATTCTAAGTATTGGTAGCTGAGAAGTCAGACTTGATATTCTCGGGAGCTTCTGTCTTGATGCTGCAATCCGCTGATCTCAGGAGCGAGGACGAGGAATACATGTGCCTCCTCGTACAGCCCTCCCTGTGCGATTGTATCGCATCTTTTGAACAGCTGCTTAGCCTGTCTATCAAAAATTAGTCACCTAAATTGGCCTTCTCCACCAGGGGACATGATAAGGTAACTCAGCCCTCGTTTCTCCTGACTTCCGTTGCTCAGGAGATATGGGGACACGCCTTATAGAGTCCTCCCCTCACCTGAAAGTTGAGGCAGGAAAGTACATTAAAACGGAGAGGCTCTAGCATTCGTGGTTCCCTCACTCTTTTCGGCTACAGTGCTGTCCCTTGATGATTGATCTTCTATTGCTTTTATCTGAAGAGAGAAGCAGACGTGGAGGTTTGTTCCTTCGCGAAATGAATGTCAACACCTCTTCTGCATACACATCGACTGCGTTACTGAAACCCAAAATCGATCGTATGAGAAGCTTCTCCTCGCGTTCTGATTCAAATCTTAGCCTACAGGCTTCGCCAGATCCAGAGACCACCCAATTCTCGTCTACTCGTCTACTTCAAGTCTCGTCAACCACCACACAGATGATCTATGCTACGAGGAAACCGGGCACTTTCACAACCATGCCACCTCACCCATCGATGGCTTCGGGCGATTTCATTTCGAAGATGCCTCGTATTCTGCAACGGCTTTACCGTTGCCAAACATCGAGACCAGTCAAGCGCCGATGAAAGAACGGCTGGTCGCGGCTTCTTTTCCACAAAAACTAAAGGCCGGATGGTGTATATCTGGAAATGCTTTCGCTTTGGTGGTGTTCGTCATCATCACTCAAATGGCATTCGGAATTTTGCAGTGCGTCAAATATAGCGCGGACAAGACGGACCAAGCAGCATTTGGCAGGGGCGTCGTTCTCGCAAAAGGTTGAGCTGGTGCTCTCTATCCGATGCTCTTCTTATTTTGTCCATGTCACGGTGGCTCATGGCTGTCGTCTGACGCACTCGCTACGCAGCCGCTGCTGTCAACTGGGACAAAATCCGCAACTTTCATATTTATGGGGGAGTCAGCAGCCTGCTGCTTGCTTCTTCTGCACACCATCAGACACCTGAGCGGATCACTTGTTCATGCATCCGACCCAAAGCACAAGCAGGCGATTACGAATCTCTTCAACGGAAGTTTTGACACCAGCAGCTACAGTGTCTGGCTCGAATCGGTACCAGGGATCACGGGTCTGATCAGTTACGGCATCTTTGTCGTCATCTCGATCCTGGGCATACCGTACATTCGGAATTTGTCGTTCGAGCTCTTTCAAGCCAGCCACCTGTTGATGTTCCCGATGATTGGTCTGCTGATGGCACATGGAGCAGATCATCTTTTACAATATCCTGCCTCGAGGCTCGTGTTAGCTGTGCCTACTCTTCTCGTCATGATGGAAAGAGGACACCGAGTTCTCAGCATGTTCAATTCCAGTGGCTACGCCGAGATAACGCCTTTGAGTGACGAAGTTGCCAAAGTGTCTCTACCGCATCTGACCCAATCTCGCCTGTTCAAATATCAAGGCGGCCAATACATTCTGTTGCTGCTGCCCTCGATTTCGTATTTCCAGTGGCACCCGTTCACCGTGTCTGAATTTGATGGCGACAGGCCTTACATATACATGAAAGCGGGTGGGAATTGGACCGCCCGAGTTCGTCGACTGGGGCGATTTACACCAGCCCGTTTGGACGGACTCTTTGGCGCCCCAAGCCAGAGGTTTTTTGACTATCAATACAACATATTGATTGAGACGGGCATTGGGATTACGCCTTCTCTCTCGACTTTGGATCGCCTGAAAGAGCGCGATCAACCCTGGGCGATGCAAGATGCTGCAAATCCCCCGTCAGCATCCCATATACCAGATAATGACACACTAAATGCCGATGAGACGTCTCATTCGGTGGATATATACCGGACATCACGTCGAGCTGACTCGATCCTCTGGTTCGTCCCTGTCCTCGCCGGGGCGTCATCGGCCTCGCAAAACCGCAGGATTCAGTTCGCATTGACCGCGTTCATTACTCAATCGAATGCATCAGACAATCTCAAAGCATCCGTCGAGCAGGAAAAATCGGAGCTGCTCAATTACAGAGGACACGTGCAGTATCAGCGACCAGACTTCGCAAAACTACTCACTGAACACTATGAGAAGATGTGCCATTCTCCTTTTTGGTCCTAGAAGGGAAGGGTGAGGGTCGGCGTGTTTTTCTGTGGCCAGCGTGCGGTGCGCAAGCAGCTCCAGATGTTGTGTTATGAGATCACTCTGGCAGGATGTAGGGATGGCAGCGGTATCGAGTATCATTTTCATCCAGAGGTAGTCTGAAGACAATTTGATTGCTCTCTGTCCTTTTTTTTTTTCTCTCTTTCTCTACAGAAAGCTGTGCAAGGCTTCCCTAGTAAGTTTTGCTGGGCAGCACAGGCGGGCGAATCGTGACGCCATGACGACAAGGGCGGCCGTGGCGGGAGATTCGTATACAGCATCGACCAGTGTTGAGTTGCAGCCAGCGTATTCGGAGCCCTTCGCCAGTTAACCTAAATTGATTGTGGTCACGCCAGGGCCCACAGAGAGGTAATTAGCAGAAGCCAATTGCTAAATGACACCTCGTACCCAGCGTTTACTGTACATAGGTTAGCGCACTGGCGTATCCAGCTGCTTGTGGAATCCAACCTCAGTCGCCTGTGCGACATAGTTCTATCTATCTTGCTGCCTTGTCGAGATGGAATAAGTATCGACGCAAGTTTGAAATTTCATGGGTGATATCCAAAAACGCGCACTGCGTGTTGTTGAGTTTTGACTTCGAACCGAGGGTGATAGCCGAACGGTTCTCTCCTCAGGTGAATGCGATCTCGGAGGTGCAATATCCCCCTCGTACCGAGACTGGGGCTATTGACGCTGATGTCGGCCTGTCGCCCAAACAGAAGGCCAGGAGGCACGTAGACGAATATTTCATGTTGGACAATTGTGCTTTGATGAACTATTTATAATTATCAGTTCACGAAGAGAGGATCGAAACCTACACCATCACCATCACTTGGGGAGAAGAGAGGACAGAGCCCAAATGGCACTTACTCCTTCGCCATCCGCTTGATCACCCAATGCCCAAAAACACACTTGAATGATCGCAGCAAGGTCGTGGCAATACATGTGCCGTGGATTCTATTCAAGAATAACCCTAACGCAAATTCCAGAGCAGCGAGGTTACCCCCAAGGTCCTGCGGTCTACCCTCATTAATATCGGATTGGAAGAGTCGGCACTCCCTGCGGTTGCGGTCCTCCAAAGTCCCAAAATGTGGTTGCGATGACTTCTTCCAGAGTCAGTATCATGAAATACAGTAGTTCGGCACCACGGAAGCTAGATGGAGGGGCGAATGAACCAAGAAAAGAGTAATCTGTGCTCTGTATCAGGATTCCGTGCAACTTGCCTCCACCACATATCTCGACCCAGAAGCTCTCCAGTGTTCATCAAAAGGACACATCCCATGCAATGTTTAGTTCACATTGCGATTGTGGTCATCGTATCTAAGTTTGACTGGCCGAGGGTCAGGCCAAATATTCTGCTCAATTGCACATTCCGACGAATTGCAAAACCGGCGCGAGAATCAGATTCAAGCCCAGGGGCTTCGATGGCAGTCGCGTGATATAAGAGAGTCCTTCTGCGTATTTGGACCAAGAAATGATCAATAAAGAGCTTCGAATCGGCCTCAGGAGTCGCGAGGGTCTGAAATACAATGAATAGAATGGCTGCTGTGGCAGTCTCCCTTCCATGAATAGCACCGGCCCTTGGCAAGAAGTCGTGGCTAAGGGGCATATCGCAATCGAGAAAGCGCCTGCCTGTGACTATGCAAACCCCTCACATTCAATCGGCAGTTATGGTGTGTGCAGAAGCTGCGATGTACCAGGTTCTAGGTCATGACAGCCTTATTTTAGGCCACCGAAGCGTTCGGGGATAGCAAGCTCTGAAGACCTATTCTTAATGTGTGCCTCTGGGCGTCTGTCGCCTAAGACTATCACTTTCGGTACCAAGTAGATACTGGAACATTAGGGGGGCATTTACGGTAGAGTGGGTGTAATGGGGAGGGTGGGTGCAAAGGTCAGGTGAGGAAGTGACCTTTTGCCAAGACGGTTGGCGGGGTGAGCATAGGGCAGCGTCACAGACGTCCCAAAGGGGGGGTATGCAGCTTTGATCTCTCCCTCTTCCATCAACTGGCCACCCGCAGCTCCAACGGTACAACGAGGTCAGAATACAACACTATGGCGGAGCTCACCACAGACCACGTCCGATCTCTGGATCAAACGCGTCAAAGACTTCTAGCTCTCCATAAATCACTGGTGGCTTTGGGATCAGAGCTCGTCACCCAGAATCCGCTTCCCTCCTGGTACATACATTCCTGACTACGAAGAGACACATCTAGCTGATTGCATCGGACAGGTCGGCGCTTCAACTGCATGCAAACCTTGTGTCTAACAACCTACAAACCATTGCTTCTCAGCTGGCTGAGCATCGGGATACATATCAATCCACCGTCGCCTTTCCCACACCTCAGTTCCCGGGGACACAGCGCTCCTTCATTCTCGAGACTCTCCTTCGGACAAAGCTAGAACCCGACGTGGAAGAGTGGATTGAGGCTGGCGAAAACGTCAGCGCACAACAGCACAAGACCACTTTCCGAGGGTTGTCGGACGACGACCGCAATGCTCTATGGCAGTGGGCCCCCGGGGTTGCAAATGGTGCGGCCCGCAAGCAGAAATGGGGCGCGGACTTTACTCTGGAGGAGAAGCAAAAAGGCGTAGAGAATGTGGCTACAGGGTTACGCAGACAGCTGGTAGAACCGCCCGATGACGAGGGCGAGGAAGAGCCTGAAGAGGAGGAAGACGAGTTTGAAATCAGCGATGAGGAAGACGAGGGCGAGGATGGGGACAAAATGGATGTGGAGAAACAGCCGCCGAAGACCGAGGCAAGCCCAGCCTCTACAGCCTTGCCAACCGCTGGCCAGATGACCCTAGGAGCTCTCCACAAATTCATGACCACTGGACGATGACCACCTCTCAGAGATGACTCTACTCCCGGTACAACTCAAGATTACGAGAGGATGCTCGTCCAACTGGAGAACCCGACTTTCCGTCCCATCACAGGTTCAGTCTCCCCCTGCCCTTGTGCAGATATGGTCGAGTCGTGCAGCCAGACGAAATCCACCCATTCGCTGTCATCCATGCCGAGAATCATGTCTCTCTGCACTCTCCATTCGACCGTCACGTCGACGCACGACAAGGACAATTTGAGTGCCAGCTCAAATTGCCTTCTCTCGGCGGAAGTGATTTGCGTGGCGACGGAGACACTGGACTCGATCACAATGGTCAATTTCTGAAGGGACTTGAGGAAGACAAGACCTTCAGTGACCCAGGATGCCGTGTAGGCGAATGTAGTTGACGGACGATCCTGAGAAGAAGGAGCGATTGTCAGGATGTGCAGCAATCCCACCATCGAGTCGGCCTGCGCCAACAGCAGATCTCGCGTTGTGATATGCAGTGTCAATTCTCGCAAGCTGCAGCCGCCGCCCGACTCGTCTGAGTCCTTTTCGGGCTTGTGGTCGGCCTTTTCTCTCTCGTTCCAGTTAATTTCGATGTCTGCGCCACCACTGCTCTCCACCAAGTCACTGGCACCGTTCGTCCCCATCACGCCCGCTATTGACCTAAGAATCGACCTCAGAGACCATGCTTCCGACACACTTGCGAGGAGGTGTAGCTCCAGCTTCCGAATTGCTCGTCGCTGAAACGGCTTCAGTACGTCCAAGAAATGTTTTGTTGCCGAAGTATTCGATCCCATGGTTGCAGGACACTTGACCCAATTGACTTGGAGAGGCATCAAGCGTGTTTCTCTGTAAATTTGACGGCAGAGAAGAAGAGCTTGCACAACATTTTTGTTCGCGGCGTCGGTCCTTGATCCCCGACGAGAGACCTTGTACCGGTCGCCTACCATGCCGAAAAGCCTTGATGTAGCGCATGCCTTCTGGGGTGGAAATATCTCAGAGGAGTCCATGAAGACGAGTTCGAAAACCTTTTGCCTGAGCTCGTACGGGAGGCTGAGGAGCGGTGACGACGACAACGCGCGGGATGTTCTCCCAGCTGTGTTGTCACCTTTCGTCTGACTCTGCAGCTCGCGGTGTTCGTGGTCTTCCTTGCTGCAAGCTGGCGGCTGCTTTTGAACATCCGCAAGCAATGATATCTCGTTTGAATCATGAAACATCATATCGCGCTGGAGGGTTTTAGGTCAATGCTGTCTCTGGTTGCCCTTCGATGCCTTGGGGATGTTGCGAGTTGAGGCCCAAGGAGATTGGATGAGCTGGGACGGCGGGCAATAAGACTGCAAGCCCGAAGGAGAGGTCGTACAGCAGTTGGGGAACAGGTGACTATTTCACACCTTCTTGACTGTGTTATTTGGCACCAGAGCGAATACGGAGCAACCAAGTCGCGAAATACTACTGGAGAAGAGTGAGAGTAGCGAGATACAGCAAACCGCACCCTTGTATTTTACAACATGGCGGCACTCTCAAGTGGTAGTGCCGGGCAGTACATTACCCATGGTGTGCGGATGCCCGAAACATTGAGGGACTTGTACGACACGCTCATCTCGGCTACACATGGATTCCATCAGCCTTAGACTAGACGTGCTCGGCGCCGCCCGTCAAGTTGCGCGGTGTGTATCGCGGCTGTGGAGGGCAGTGAATTGGCTACTTAGTCATGGAAACGAAAGGACTGAACAGTCCAGGACTCCAGGTAATACTGGCAAATATGGGGGAAGAGGCGGACATGCATTATCAAATCAAACCGGCCAAGCATAAGATTTGACTCGGAATGAAGTTGTGTGGATGAAGGACTCGAGATTGGACTGACCATATGGAGTGTTCCGTCCTTTGCGCTATATAATCTTGTACTAAGCCACATTAGTGGAAATTGAACCGCCAAGCCATGGAGACGTCGCCGCCCCTTTGGACGGAATCAGCCTCGCCCAGTACGAGCGACATTAGCCTTAGCTCAGCTTACTCGTTACATTCACCACATTCACAATCGCATATTTGACCGTCGGAAAGACCCGACTTGGTCTTTTACACGGTCCTCTAGGTAACACCCTGGGGAATGAGTCCTTCCTTTTCTCGTTCGTTCTGCGCTTGTAGTCAAGGGGGAAGGTCGAGGACGAGAGGCAAAAACCTCTTGAAAAGACACGACATGTGACATGTGATATGGTGGCTGTCCGTCGCGCTCGTGGCGGGAAAAGAAATACATGCTATTTTGACTCCTGGACGTTATAATACCAAGACCAGGACTAAGGGGCTAGGACGGGGAATAGGGACCCAATGACAGGGATCGCTCGCTCGCTCGGTCCCTAGCTTCGCGCCCCTCCCACCTTGGGGCCAAAATGCGGACACACCTCCTGAGAGGTAATTAATACGAAGGAATTACCTTTCGTTCCATCCCCCTCACGCCCACCATCATCGGGATTTTCGAAGGGGCCCAGGATACAAAACGCAAGACAAGACGAGACGAGGCATACTATGACACAATATAACACAATATAGTTCTAAATTCTGTAAAGGCGATGACAGTATTTCTCTCTCTTTTTTCGATCTCTTACATATGGTACCTACAAGTAAAGTAAGCATCCCCATCTGGTTTCCATGCTATATGCTCCGGAAACCAATACATAAATCACAGCATGGCCTTGGGCATCTGCTTGATGGCCTGCCTGACGCCGAGATCCGCGAGGACCTCCTCGGCGCCGCCCAGGATGGCATCGAATTTGTACGTGCGGTGGAACTGCTCGACGAAGCGGCCCATGCCCGTCTGCGTGATGCCGCGGCCGCCAAAGATGTTGACCGCGTCGTCCGCGACGTCGTGCGCGCACCGTGTCGCGTACGACTTCAACAGCCCAATCGGCCCGCCCAGCAGCTTCGACTGCTGCGCGTAGTCCATCTGGTTCATCTGGTACGTGATGGTTTCGAGCCAGGACTGGCACGCCTCGGTGAGGGAGATCATCTTGGCGAGTTTCTGTCGGATCACCGGCTGGGACACCAAGGGTTTCCCGAAGACGATCCTCTGGTTCGTCCATTTGAGGCACTCTTCCACGATGGTGCGCATCCAGCGGATCACCGAGCAGGTCATGGCCCAGCGTTCGTGGTTGAAGTTGCTCATGATGACGATGAACCCGTTGTCCTCCTTGCCCAGAAGATGGTTCACTGGCACCTTGACGTTGTCGAACTGGATGAATGTGGTCGCCGCGGCGGTGGAATATGAGGTCTTGATGCGTTTGGTTTCCACATTGTCGTCCCGCGGCACCAGGATGACACTGAATCCCTTCTCGGTTTTACAGCCCGTGACAAAGTAATCCGCGAACATACCGTTGGTGATCCATTTCTATAATCGCGTTAGTGGACTAGACCGCAGGTCAAGGGCATCTCTGAAATATCACCTTCGTCCCGTTGATTCTGGCGCAGAACTTGTCAGTATAGACGTCGCCTGATAAGAGTGTCAAAAGAAAAACTCACATGTAATATTTCCCGTCCTCGGTCTTCTTGGCGGTCGTTCTGATCCCCGCAACGTCGCTGCCTGCAAACGCCTCGGTGATGGCAAGACACATGAATTTCTTCCCGCTCAGACACTCCTCGGTTACTCTATCCTTCAACGCGGAATCATTTGCCCACTGTCGCACAGCTGTAAGTGAGATCATCATGCCGGCCATGTTTCCGTCTTGGAAACCTCGTGCCATCCCGCGAGAGAGCTCCTGCGCGACGATAAGGTCGTGGAAATAGTCAAACTCTTCGCCTTGCACATCGCCAAGTAGTTTGCGGCCGTAGAGGTGCTTGCCGGGGCCGAGGCGCATGGCGAGGAGGCCGTTCGATGCCATCTTGTCGACCAGTTCTTGAGAGATATACGTGCCGTCGAGTTCTTTTTCTTGGGCTTCGGGGTAGATATCCCGGTCTACGAATTCTCTCACGGCTTTTTGGAGGGCGCGATGAGAGGCGTTGTAGTAGGGGGATTTGAATTGCGGAGTCAACCACAACGGCTCCGCATAAGGCACCTTCGACAGGTCGCCCGGTTTGGGATCTATGACTTCGGGCTTCTCGCCTTCAATTGTGCCAATGCAGAGATTGGCGTACTTTTGGAGCACTTCATGGCGGTGGAGGTTGTAGAAGGCCGTTGTGGCGTCCTGGCCGGCCACCTGTTGCAGAACGACATTGCCACCGGGATGGGCATCTGTTGCGGGTGGTCGTCAGTTCATACGTCCCGAGAATGAGTGTATAGGAAAGGACCCGCTGCCAAAGGACTGGGCGAGTCTTCCAAAAACAGCATTGACCTACCGAGAAAGTCCGAGAGGTCGTAGACCTTGTGATCAATCTGAGGGATTCGTGTTGTCAGTACCCGAGGAACCCCCTGGTGAATCAGGCGAAGAGAGGACGGCTGCTCAGACTGAAGGGGAACTTACGATGCACCATACGTCGTCCTCTGCGTTATGTTCAGCAACTTGGGAACGGGTGTGCACCTTGCTGGGTATCGACTGAGACGCCTTTTGGGCCATGATTGTAGATTCTATTTCGTGGAAGGAGAGAAGGAGGACTGGAAAAGTGTATTCTCTCACACAATGGCCCGGATATACTTCCCCAGATCAAATGGGCTTCTCAAAGGATGAAAGCGGCGGCAAGTCGTGGTTGAAGATATATCTCGTCATGTCATGGGCTCGGGACCGGAACAATTTATTGTGGTTTGACCTGGAACCGAGGTTCGGGTTGAGCTTCGAACAGCCAACCGCCGACCTGAGTGACCAACTAATTGCCTGATTACTGATTGGTTGACGATGCCCGGCTGCACGAGGCTGTACAAGGCTGGAATTCAGCCTCGAAGATTCCGGGATTCGCTCGGCTTTTCATTTGGGTCGACAATTAAGGACGATTGACGCTCCTCGGCCACTAACACAACTACTTAGGTTGGTTAACATTGGTTGCCAGCACCATTGGCGCCGACGACTACTGCCAAATTCGTCTCTTTGAACGGGGGCTAAACGACAGAATTGCAGGAACAGAGACAATAGCATCTCGGAAGACGGAACGAGCTCCGTGTGGTGTGCTATTGGACCGTCATAAAGGCGCCAATTAGTCAATTTAGACACCTGTTTTGTTCAACCTCGCTTTGACCACATCCACAAGTTCAACTGTGGGCTGTATGTAAGGCACAATAGTGTTCCTGACAAGAGTTCTTTGCTCGAATGCATATGCAAGCCCGATGAGCAACTCCTCGCTGAAATGAGGCCCCATGAAACTGATCCCGAAGGGAACGTTTGGTGCCGTGGCATTCAGGTTGCCAAACCCATTTAGAGTAACCGCTGTCTTAGGAGGGAAAGCTCCCAGGGGCACCGTTACAACAGGGGATCCAATCAGTGCAGGGAAATTGGGCGAAAACTCTGTCGGTAATACCAGGGCATCTAGTGAGTAGTTTGCAAGCGCGCCTGTGACTCCAAGGGGACCAGCCAAGTAGGTGTTCATCGTATAGTTCGACCAGAACTCCGGCGAGGTGTTGTTGTAGCCAAGTTCCAACGCACCGTCCCAGACCAGTGTGTCGCGCTCAGGCCAGTCTTCCAGAGGGAATGAATGTGTAAAATTGCGAACATCCGCCACAGAGTACACATGATTGGGATTGTACGAGAGTTCCGAGAGATATTTCGCAAGGTCGCTTATGAAATCCCCTTCAAGGACGATATTCGAGTAGTTGCCCTCATTGAGAGCATCGTAGCCGGTGAAGTTGGTGTTGTCTATGACTGTGGCTCCCGCAGCGCGCAGGATATCCAGAGCGGCGTTGAAGGCTGAAATGATTGGCGCAGCAGTAGAGTCGCTGCAAATGTACGTTAGCCCTGGACTGGTGGAGAGCGTGACAAGAGATCCGTTCAGACACGAGACACTTTGCGAGAGCACTCACAAGGATAGATCAATCAGATTTCGTGGCACGCCGATCCTCTTCCCTCGCAGAGCCGAAAAGTTGCATGCGGCGACGTAGTCGGGAATTGTCTCGAAGGGAATTGCAGAGGTATAATTATCATAAGTTGACTTCCCTGCTATGGCCGACAGGACGTACGCTGCGTCCTTAACTGTCCGGGCCATGGGCCCGACGGTGTCTTGATGTTCGGAGATCTGAAATAGACAGTCAGTCTCTATTCGGAACGGCGGGTGGGTGCATGTGGCGGAATATCAAACACGAAATATG